TACTCAATCCCCTCCTTATATCCAAGCAAGGCAATTGTTTTGATTGCTAAATCATTTCTTGCTTGAGTTTTTCCTCATTGCTTGAGTCTTTGAGAGATATTGCCATATTCTAAAGGACTTCATTGTATTTGCAACAATCTACTCCGTGTTGGGAGAATTACTCGGTTGCGGTTTGTTTTCTTACTTTATTGTAAGGGATTTGTATTCTTGGTGTTGGGATTACACCAAGTGGTAGAAATCCTATCGGTTTGTGAAATCAAACGTTAGGTGGAAAAAATCCTGAGTTTTGTGAAATCAAAACTTTGGTGGTAAGATAAGAGGCTTGTGAAATCAAGTTCTCGAGTTGTATTCGGATTGTCAAACTCCGTTAAGTTTGACGGGTTAGTGAAGGCCTGGGCACGATTGCTTCGGGGACTGGATGTAGGCATTTAGGCCGAACCAGTATATATCGTGCGTGCATTGCTCTTATCCTTCACTTTATTTTGTTTGTGGTGCATTATTTTTACTGAATATTCGTGAAGAATGTTTCCGCGCAAAAAATTGGTCTTTTGGGCAACACCTCTATTAACCCCCCTCTAGAGGTGTGCGAGGTGTCTAACATTGGCCTTCTTTAGGACTTTGAAGAAGGGCAAGGCTCTTTCAGCAGATCGGGATAAGAAGCGACTCAAAGCTGCCAACCTCCCGGTGAGTCGCTGCACATCTTTCAAGGAACCGGGCGACCTCATCTCTGTTATGGCCTTAATCTTTTCGGGATTTGGCTCAATACCCCGCTTGGTCACCATAAACCCCAGGAACTTGCCGGTCTTCACAGCAAAGACACATTTCTTGGGGTTGAGGCGCAAGTTGTACTTTGCCATAATCTCGAAGCAGAGCCTCATGTCAGCCGGGTGGTTAACCGCATCCGGGCTCTTGATCAGCATATCGTCTACATAGGCTTCCATGGACTTAGCGAGCAGTGGCTTAAAAAGCCGGTTTACCATCCTCTGGTAAGTAGCGCCTGAATTCTTTAGTCCAAAAGCCATCACCCGGTAACAATAGGTGCCTTCAGGAGTCAAGAAAGAAGTCTTCTCCTCGTCTTCCTCAGCCATAAAGATCTGATGATAGCCTTTGAAGGCATCCATGAAGCTTAGCAACTCACACTTGGCCGTCTCATTGACCATCTGATTGGGACTAGGCAGCGGGTACGAGTCCATGGGGCAGGCCTTGTTCAGATCCGTGTAGTCCACGCACATGCGCCAGGTGTCGCCTTTTGGTGCCAGGACAACGTTTGCCAACCAGACAGGGTATTGTGCTTCCCTTATGTGCCCGACTGCCAGCAAATCCCTCACTTCTTTCTTCACAAAGTCCCTTCGAGCGCTTGCCAAGTGCCTTTTTTTCTGCTTCACAGGCCAGCTACCTTCCATCACAGCCAGACGGTGGCATATGACAGAACGGTCTATGCCCGACATGTCCGCCACACTCCAAGCGAAAATATCCGCATACTCCCGAAGGACTGAGATGATTTCTTCTCGAATTCCTCCGGGCAGATCCCGGCCTATTCGCACCATTGTTTCCGAGAGAGTCTCCCGGAGAACAATCTGCTCGGTCTCATCACCCGGCTCTAGCTTTGACCGTTCTTCTTCCTGGGAAACCAAGGTAACCCTCTAAAATGCCTTGGTCATTTTCTTTACGACCTCCAAGTAGCAAGACCGGGCCTTCTTCTGATCTCCCCTGACCTGCCCTATACCTCCCGGGGTATAGAACTTCATACAGAGATGGGCCATGGAGATGACCCCACGGACTTTGTTTATTCCAGGCCGGCCCAAAATGGCATTGTGGACACATTTGATGTTCACTACCACAAACCTCATCTGTTTTTGGACGACCTGGTCCCCCGTGCCCAATTCACAAGTTAAAAGGATTGACCCCTCAGCTTCCACAGAGTCCCCGGTAAACCCGGACAGGGGAGTCTTTAAGGGCTCAAGCCGTGTTCGACACAACTTGAGTTTCTCGAATGCATCCAAGTACAAATTGTTGACACTACTGCCTGTGTCAACAAGTACCCGGGAAACATCGACTCCACCCATGTCCATGGTTATGGCCAGGGGATCATTGTGATCTTCGCCGGTGGCGGGAAGGTCTCGATCAGTAAAAGTGATTGGTTCCCGCCTGGCTTGTTTTGACCAGGGATTTAGGGCCACTGTTCCTACGTAGAGCTCTCGCCCCCATTTCTTCCTCTGGGAAGCAGAGTCTCCCCCTTCCGGTCCGCCGTAGATGACCTGCAAGTGCTCCTTACCGGCTGCTTTCTTCTTTTTGTTCTGCTCGGCCGGCTGTCCTTCAGGTCTGATCCATTGGTTCTTCCTTTGCTTGGCCTGAGCCAGGTACTCTGGATCAATCTCCCCGGCCTCGATCATCTGCTTGATTACTCCCTTCACACTGTTACATTCTGTAGTGTTTTGGGAGCCAGTTTTATGGAAAGAGCAATACTTCTCCGTCCATTGCTTCTCGCCGGTCAGTTTCTTTTCCGTTTTGAACGGTTTCACCTCCATGATTTCTGTCTTTACCTTACCAGGCAATTCAATTCCTTTTTTCAAAGAAATCCTTCCTTTGGGATGGCCCTGCTCGGCCTCCATCTTGAACGACACATGTGCTTCGGCGTCGGCATAATCCCAAGCCGTGTTGTAGGCTTCTTGGTAGGATTGGGGAGACCTCCTGCAAAATTCTTTGTACAATTCTCCGGACCAGAGTCTGGACACAAAGAGGGACATGGCGGTTTTGTCGTCCATTTCCTCCAGTTTATCCACTTCATCTTTCCACCAGGTGAGGAACTTGGTTAGATCCTCATGTTCCCACTGTCCGGCTGTACTCAAGTAAGTAAACTTTTTCCTCTTTGTACAGTTCTCCTTGAACTTTTCTTGGAACACCTCGGCCAGTTCATCAAAAGAATCGATTTCCCCGGCCGGGAGGTTGTGAAACCACTCAACGGCTCGGCCACGGAGGGTCTGAAAGAAAAGTAAACATTTTTCGTCCCTGGAAAGGCCCATCATCCTTCCACTTTGATGAAGGGTTTTGACATGTATTTCCGGATCCTCCTTCCCGGTAAACTTCGGGAACTCCAACTTTGCTTTCTTTGGAAATGGGGTCTCGTGAACCCGTCTGTAAACGGAGATTCGTTTAGCAGAATTTTCTTCTTTTCGTCCCGGTACACTCGGCACTACAGCTTCTCCAAACGTGCTTCGACCCGGCCCACACGATCCCGGGGTTGTTCAACATGGGAGCGGATCGTGTGCCTAGGATGGCTTTCCGCTTCTTCTTCTTCATGGGGCGCCCGACTATATTGGGGCTCTTCGCGATGGGGAGGCTCCGTGCGCCTGGTCCGACCAGGTCGCTCGGCCCCTCTACCCAGGCGATCAAAAGCACTCAACGGGGTTGTTTCCACTCCTAGTCGTTCTTTGGCAGGCCGGTTTTGATTTCTGCCCTCATGGCCAAGCCTTTGAAACACTGACCTCCAGGACCCTTCAGGTTGAATAGCTTTTCCCTTCAGCTTCTTTTGTGCCTGGGGTACATCCCAATCCTCGTCCCTGCTTTGGACTGAGCGCACATCGCCATCAGGCGTGATCTGTGTGCGTGACCTTCGGGACCGACTCCTTCTGGACCGGGACGGACCAGCTTTGTCCATCTCTCCGATCAGATTTGTTGGAGCGACCGGGCGGATGATATTAGTTTGGGGCAAGGATTGTGGGTATAACCCGGGAATGAAAGGTGAAAATCCTCCCAGCTGTTGAAACATGGACATGAACTGTCCAAAATTTTGGACTGCCTGTGAAAACAGCGGGTCCATGGGCCCGGGAAAATTTGGAGAAAAAACAGGGATAGAGGTGACGGGGGAAGTGAATGGAGTAGGTGTTGGAATGGTAATGATGGGGGTAGGAATCTGGTTTGAGGGTTAGGCACTCCCTCCCGGAACGAGGCGACGTTCTCAACGGGAGTAGAGATTTGTGAGATGACTGTTTCCTGATTGCTTGTCATGACTTTTTGTAATGGTCCCACGGGTGGAGCCAATTTGATGGTGTAAATTACCACGCAAATACTAAGTAAAGTAATCGGAAGGTTGTAGGTGGAAACACCTGTAACCTGGCTTGTTATTAATGAGAGTAGGAATTATTACAATCAGTATGGGCCGTGTGGATTAATTAAAGCATGCCTCACAAATGAGGCTTTTAAGAGTATTTATAATAATCCTAAGCACGTCAAGCACGTCTCTGATTATCCAACCGGTCACTCGGCTGACCGGTCCTCTAGGCGCACTTCAAGAATAGATCTCCAGTTGTTGGTCCCGGCCAATCCTTCCAATCGGACAAACTACCCGGGTTGGCAAGGGCACGCGCTGTCACTTTTATGACCACCCATACGAGCGAACCAACCGGGCAGTATCCATGGGTTATTACCCATCACTCTTGAGCAGGAGTTAACCACCAAGTATGCCAATTGAAAAGGGACTTTTATTTATCTTGATGGCGGAGGGATTTACATATTCATGAGAGGTAGATAAGCCAAGAAGATGATATATAACGTGTGAGTGAGACTATATAATTATACCCTAAAAACTAATAGAAATTATTGTAAGGTTAATATAGTAATTGTGTAATCTATTTTAGAATGGAGAGACTAAATTAAATAGTCTAAACGTATAAGCTTAAGACCAACCTTTATTTATTTATTTTTTTTGACAGAAGACCAACCTTTATTAGGGAGTAAGGGTTTGTTTGGGAGTGATTAACTTATAGATAAAGTGATTTTCACAAAAGTCGAAAGCAGAGGCACCTCATACCTGCTTCTCCGAAACAGTGTTCTGTGTACAAAATAGTGGTAGTGAAAAGCAGAAGCTGACCTGCCAAACAGAATAAAATTACTTCCACTCAAACCAGAAGCTAAATTATTAAAAGCAGTCCACCCATATTACAATTAGGCCTGGGAGACCTGGGCTATTTCACAAAATAGCAATCCCTCCGACCAAACGCACCCTGCGTCATCTCCAAATTCCTGAGATCTGATCTTTTTACGGAATTTTCCCTATTCCACTCAGGACAAACAAGTAGCGAAACCCCCCCAGGGCGCAACCCCACCGCCGCGACACCGTCAAGCACCTCCCCGCCCGGTCTTGAACATCGTTTTGATTCTTTATTTATCTTTGATTCGAACCAATTGCAAGTTGGAATTGACCCCTCCCGGCAAAGCCCAGCGCACCCCTCGCCGGCGCAGTCCCCACCGTCGCAGGACAGACGGATGCCGTGAAACGCCTCCCTACACCACAGGTCTGGAGCTTCAATTTTTCTTCTTCTTCTTCTTATGTTTGACATGCGGTGATGAGGGGAATCAAGTATGCTAACCCGATTCTAAAAAACGATTCTACTGGTTTAGAATTACAAACCAGTTCCCAATTTCCCATGAAGATATCTCTTGTATTGGATTCTTGGCTCATATCTAAAATTAATACTCTTTACCTTGGTGTCATAAGGTGAATCAGTAGGCCATACTCCAGTTTAGAGCTAATCTTTTAAAATTTAAGATTAGACATGCTCAATAAAACTAGTCAATTAGTGATATTGGAGTTAATAGAAATTAACAATTTTTAAAATATAGAAGTAGACATCCTTACACATTGCAAGAACTTCAGTCCAATCGGTCTGAACCAGAGGCACTCTAGTCTGGATTCAAGAGAGGTTTTTGGACTTTCGGTCTCTGGTCATGTTTTGGACCCTTACAAAGTAGATTAGGTGTAACATCAAAATGCTAAAATTGAAAATAAAAAAAAACTTTGATTGACATTGAATGACTTGAGGACCATTA